TAAAATGTTCCCCAGCGAGTAGTATATTTTTAGTAACAGTTGGGTATTGTTTTCCATGACATATAATATCTTCTCCATCTGCTTTGTCATATCTAATTTATTTAGGTATTTCCTAATGCGGCGCATTGTCTGTGCACCTATCACATCTCAAACAAATTGAAGATGCGTTATAAGACGAAATCACACGCAGTAAAAGAGGAGTTTTATGCAGCAGCAAGGGCCTATACTGTAGAGGAATTCGATAAGCATATAGCACAGATAAATAAGCTGAATCCAAATGTGGTACCATATCTAGGAGAAATTGGATTTCACAAGTGGGCAAGAGTTCATTGTCCCAATAATAGATATTTTACCATGACATCTAACGCTGCTGAGTCAATAAATGCTGCCATACGATCCGTCCGTGATCTACCGATAACACCACTACTAGAGGCGCTTAGAGATATGCAACAGCGGTGGAATGTGGCAAACAAAGATGAAGCGAAGGCCACTTTTACTCCTCTTGCAAAGAAGCCACATAGGTGGTTGGAAACGAATTACCACATGGCAGCAAGATATTCAGTGAGTGTTATTATTTATATTTCTTATTTTTATACCTATAATATACTATATAGCTACTAATATATACATATAATATATCTATAAGATACTGTAATATACTATATATATACTGATATGTGTAACAGGTACAGAAAGCCAGTGACAAAGTGTATAAAGTGATGGCTGATGGTAAGGCATTTATAGTAGACATTGAATCCAAGACTTGCACATGCCACCACTTTCAAGTTGACGAGCTGCCGTGCCCGCACGCTATACGTGTGATCAAGTCACTCCACCAGGATCCGGTCCCATTCTGTTCTGAGTACTACTTAACCTCTTCTATGTTGGCAACTTATGAAGATGTTGTAATACCAATAGAAGGTAATCAAGCCTTCACATTTAATGCATTGTCTGTCCTAAGATTGGTAAATCCTCCAGATGCAAGAGTGAGGCGACCACGCAAACAACGATTCAAGTCGGGTTGGGAGCATAGATCAAAAAATAGATGCAGCAAATGTTACGAGAAAGGGCACAATGTGAAAACTTGTCGTAATCCAATACGATGAAATCATTAACATTGACGTGTACAGTATTGATGGTTTTTAAGTTGATTGTTGCTTACTACCATTACTTGTTAATTTTTCTTGTTTTTATTTCATATTTGTGAAAGCTGCATGGACATTGGTTATACCACGCATATACATAACATATACGAAGGATAAAATGTATCGCGAAAGATATACAACACATGTACAAAACATATACCATACACATACCAAACATATATATGCACCAATACCAATCTTTGAAGGATAAAGACAGAAAATATAACTTAGCAAATACAACGAATATACCAGAAATTACAACGAATATATCAGAAATTACAAAGAATATACCATAATATATATCGAAAATATAACGTAGATATACCAGAATATAGCATGGATATAACAGAATATAAGTTCAACTGATGTTTGTCCATCACAAAGTTCATAAAAACATCGTTGAATGTGGAC